CTCTATAGCATCTTACTACGCTGATGGACAGTAACTGTAATGGGGTACGTGGTGGGGACTGATAATGGGGAGAATCTAGAAACCACAATATTGTTCATGTAATTGTATATTAATGATACCAAAATAAAAGTAAATTAATAAATTTAATTAAATTAAAAAGTGCAGGTCTGATTATCCCACCACCACTCCTCCAAAATATTGTTCAAAACATTTTAATGCCTTCCATTGCTCTTAGGATTGAAAGAAATCCTGGGCCCTACCCATTTCTCCTGCCTCATCCCATCCCCTGACAAGATCAGACCACTTACAACCCTCTAAAACCGTGGCATGTTCCATCATTGCAGCTTTATATCTATCTCTGTGACTCCATGATTAATACCTGTCCCCCTCCTCACAGTGAGCCCCACAAAGGAGAGACCAAGTTTATTTTGGCTTTACTTGTTTTGGGGTCATGCAGTCTTGGGTGCACATCTGAATTCTGCCCCTAATTAGCTATGTGACTTTGAGCAAGTTACTTGACCTTGATAAACCTCCTTGCTGCACATGAAAAAACAGAAAATATTGTCTCCCCTCCACAGGACACTCGAGGATGGAATTAAATAGTGTATGTAGTGTGGGTCACAGAGGGTCTAGTCCCTATGAGGACATCATGAGCTGGGAGCAGCAACAGAAAGATGTGTATGCACTTCCTGATCACCCCTCAGCCAGTCCACCCTGAAATAAGCTCTACACTAAACACACATCTTCAGGCAGGTCCAGAAATAAGTTCTTCTGGATGAGACCGCTTTCAGGGCCCTGGAAGGGCAGCTCCCTCCTAAGGAGTGACAGAGAGTGTCAGCCTGCTCTAGCCCCTTCAGAAAAAAGAGTGGTCAGGGATTATTAAATCCCCAGAAGAGCTTAGGGACCCAGGGCCAGCCTTCTTAACATAGCCATTTCATTAAGTCCCTTCCTCCCACAGGAGCCTGTGATGGCTCCCACTGCCTAAGCATCAGGTGTAGCCTCCTTCATCCGGAGCCTCACATCCATCCCCCATCTGGCACCTGGTGCCCAGAGCCCAACCTTCATTCAATCAGGTGTCTTCACCCACCTCCATACGGCTTCCTGACCCCAGGCCCTGACCTCTGTCCTGGAAAGCCGTCTATCTTCAGGTCACCCCCTCTGAATCTTTTTCCACCCCTCAAAGCCCCCTTCTTCCAGAAAGCCCTCTAGAACTGATTCAGCCCATACTAATTTCTCTCCATGGGCCCAAGACCCTGATGCCTCCAATTAAAGACAAAGCTCTGGTGTTAAGACCCATCTGGATGCAATCCCAAGTTTAAATGACACGCTTTTTTAAAGGATAAAATCATGAATTTTATACAAGTATAAAACAAACACATATCAAAGACTTCAACACATTAATTAATGAGGGAACCAATAAAATGCTACACACAATTTCAAAGGCAAATCCAAAGTGCAACCACATGTATAGCTTTCAGCCCACCCCCAAGATACCAACTGACCTCACCAGATGATGTTCATTTGCATCTCAACAACAAGACTTGTCCTCACTACAATCCGCTTTCTACAGCTTAAAGAATAACATAGCTCAGACACCACGAAAGACACAAACTCCTATAGAAACAGATAATCATCTGTGAGATAACACCTAAATATTCAATTCAAAGGAAACTTGGTAATCTTTTTGCCTATTTTAAAGTGTTTCAACTTACCTGGTGCAGTTTAACCAGTTATGCATCTCTGAAAAGTCAGTTAAATTTGGAGGGTCTCAGTCGCCTCATCTGCAAAGTGGGGTGAAAGCACAGAAACACCCCAAGCTCTCAGACAGCAGCTCCAGGAGCTGCTTCAAGTTTTACAGATATTTCCCACCCCATGAGCTTCCTCCCTTACTTCAGCACCACCTCTGAGCTCCCTGACCTCCACCAAATACAGACTAAGGCTTCTTTTTCCACCTGCCCTTAACACCACCGAGACACATTCAAGAGGACCTTCAGCAAACTCAGAGAAGAGAGGAAAACTCTTTGAAAATCTGGTGGAATAGGTTTTCCTCCTTCACCAGCTTCCCTTTTTAGAGCATGGTGTGCTTCCCAGCCCTAAAGTAATAGTAACTGGAGAGCCAGGCGCTTTGTGTCATAATTCAAGCCTGGAATATGCTTTTGACATAATTCTGTATAAGAGATACACTAGCAAGAGGTACGCTTTCTGAAAGGTCTGCTGGGTTTTTTAGATAGATTTCTCACTCAAAGGTTTGACCATCCTGATGGCCCTTCCTTTCCCCTCCTTCACTCATAGTATCGGAAGATTCCCAACAATAGAATTGATAAGTTGACCATCCCCTGTGAGTGACAGGGTCATAGAGAGCACATGCTGGAGCAAGTTCCCACAGCCTGGACTCAAGAACTCCCAGGGCACTTCACTGTCCTGAGATGGCACTGCTGGACTTCCCATAGACTCCTCCCTCCACCTCCCTGCCCGACCTTTCGCCAAGCAGACACTAAACACCATCGTGCTTCCTTGGTACCCAGGAGATGTCACTCCTGTAAGTCTGACCCAATACAGAAGAAAGCCTCAAAAATATGTGGACATACCCATCGAAATAAAGAATAATCACAGACATGCACAAATTTACCCATGAGGATGTTCATTGCAGTGTTGTCTGTAAGTGAGAAAAACTGGATACAAACTAAATGCCCAGCAATAGAGGATTGGCTAAATAAAATATAGTACAACCATCTGGTGCAGTGCTAGGCAGCCATTAAAACTGTGACGTAGGAGAGGAGAGATTAGTCAGCAAGCTCACTCCATTGAACGACACTCACAGAGTTATGCAATTTGAATGAGAAAAAAGAAACCTTAATATTAAGTAATGAGTTTTTATATTCTTTTGCCTTTAGATGTTTCCCAGTGTCCTCCACTAATATGTATTTGTGGATGGACAGATAGACAAATTGACATAATCTGATAACTCCCCTCTAACCCCACACCACTAAGGCCCAGTGGAAACAAGTTCTGGGTTCCAGTGTGAAGAACAAGCCAGATTGGCCAGACCAATGATGCTCAAATGGAGGATGGAGAAGAATAAACTCTTTAGGCTGGAGCCTTCCATAGGACTTACTCAAAGTAAGCCACCCGGACAAAACACACATACACATAGTCTGCTACAGTAAAACCACTACCAACCAGAATATCCATCCTTCAAGGCTTGGCAGGTGTCTGTCAGGGAGGTCAAGGTCATCCTTAGCAGGGTTGTGCTGGAGGCTGTGCCTGGGAATCCTAGGACCTCCAGTGCTAGCTCTCTGGCCCTGGTCTGTCCCCTCCTTTCTCTAGTCCTTTATTTGTTCATTCATAAAATAAATGCATGGGATTAGACAAGGGGCCTCCCAGGTCCCCTTTCTTAGGACTCTGGGAGATGTTTCCCTGTATTCTGGCCCCATCTCCCCCAGAGCACATATGCCATGACAGCCCCAGATGGAGCTAGAATAACCCAGCCACAGTCCCACTCCCTCACACATAGTCTAGGGGCTATGAGGAAGGCAGCACAGGAGGCAAAGCCCAGAACAAACAGTTACCAAAGGAGGCTGGATGTGTCCTCACTCACTGAGGCCCCAGACCATGCTGGTCCTCTGCCTCCACCCAAGGAAGCCCAAGATACCGTGGCTGGCCGAGCTAGAATGGAGTGCCTTTGTTTTCCCCACCAGGGCCTGCACTGCCCCCACCCTCCCTGCAGTGCCAGTGGCTGCCTGCCTTCTCATCCACACAATCCCCATGGCTCTTGTGCTTCCTCATTTTCTCCTCAATATGTGAATATGTCATCATGTTTTATTTTTCAGAACCACTTCCTAGCCGCCATCAACAAAATGGGGGTTAGGAGAGAGTTATCAACAAAGTATCCCATCAATTCATTCATCAAATTCAGAGTGCAAACTGTTCAGGCTTCCAACAGTCTCCCTCGTGGGAGCCCCGAGTTATGTATGAGAGACACAAATAATTGGAGAGCACCCCAACCTAGCAGGGATGCAATAAACAGTTTTACTCTACTGGAGACTGGAAGGCCCAGAGGATGCCTTGCCCGAGGCTCCAAAGTAGGGTGCAGACCAAGCAGGTCCAGATGCCCGAGCCTCCGCTGAGCAGGCATCCTGTTGAGAAAGGAATGCATCTGCTGGGGCCAAACTCTGTGCCCAAGGTTTGGAGGGAGAGGTGTACAGAGGGCACAGGGTGGGACCAGGGGTGAAAAGAAAGGCCTGCTGGTGGCTCAGGAGAGGACAGCTTCAGCCTGGCCTAGCTGACATCCGGGCACACCCCAGCACTCACCTGCCAGCAACTGGGGAGCAGAAGGCCCTGCCAGGCTCATCTGCCCCTCCAGTAGCAGAGACAGGGAGCCCCTGCTGAAGTGCGCAGCCTTGCCTCTTGCCAACCTGTCTGTCCTTCCCTGCACATATCTTTTGGACTTCTCTGCACATGTCTGTGAGTCTGTCCTTCTTTGCTCCCACTTGTCTGTATGTCATTCCCTATACACGCCTGTCTATCCTCACACGTCCGGCTGGCTCGCTGGCCTCTCTGCAACCCTCGGCTTCTTCGTGGTGCCCGCCCGGCCTGCCTCTGTGTGGGTGTAGGGCTGGCTGTGCGCAGAGGGGTGCGGCTCGGCCCTCCCCCTCTCCCTCGTCCCCCCGTCTCAGGAATGACCCAGGCGGTGGCCCTGCACTGTTGAGGCCCGGGAGCCGCGGCGCAGCGCTGCTAAGGCCCGGAAGGCGCGCCGCCGCCTAGGGGGGCGGAGTGGGCGGCCGTGGCGTGGGCGGAGGCGCGCGGCTGCAGCTGGGCAGGGCAGGGCCGGGGCCGGACCCGGGAAGCCACCGCCTCCTGAGCCCGGGATCGCAGGCACCAGGTCCGCTCGGCGCAGCCCCGCCCCGCCCCGCCCCTCCGCGAAGAGCAGGCCGAGGCAGAGCGGCGCGCCCCCCGCGACGCCGGAGCCCGAGCGCAGCGGCATCCGAGCGGGAAGCGGAGTGGGAGCCGGAGCCGGAGCCGGAGCGGGAGCCCGAGCTGGAGCCGCAGCCGGAGCCGGAGCCGGAGCTGGAGCTGGAGCCGGCACTGCAGCGCGCCGCGCGGAGCGAGGCAGCCAAGCCGAGTAAGGGGCGTGGGGCCGGGGGCGGTGCTGGGGGGCGCGGGGGAGGGGGTCCCGGCCCCCTCCCCCGCGCTCTGCAGGGGCCCCGGGGCACGCACACACTCCGGGGCGCTGGGCGCGAAGCCTGGGCGCGCCGGGAGGGCGGACGCACGGTCTGGAGTGGAACCGCAACGCGCTCCCAGCAGAATCCTCGGACTCCCACAGACCCCTGTCTCTGCCCCTGCGCCCCCGGGCGGGCCGCCGGGGCGGGTGGAGGCAAGGGCTGCTCCTGAGCACGCCCTCGGGCTGCGAGGAACGGGAGGTTTCCCGGATTCTTGCCTGAGTCGAGTCCCAGAGGAGCATCCACCGCGTGCGTGGGGGCATAAGACAGTCTCGCCGGCCGCGCGCCCTCGGTTTTGGGGATCCCTGAACAACCTATCCAAGAAGGGCAAAGTAGGACGCACTTTGGGCCACGGTGGAAGAGAAAACGGGCTCTTTTGGAGTTTGAAAACTAGAACTCAACCCCCACTTTTGAGCTAGGAAGTTTGACCCTCCGACAGGCGGGTCATCCGGGCCATTCCCCAGCTTCCGTGCCTGCCCTACTGGCCTAGCTCAGCACCAAAGGTGGGAGAGGGGCGTCCCCACCGCCTTCTCCCGCTCTGAAGCAGACTTTCCCTTGCACGGTCAAGTGGGACCCCAGGCTGAGTCCGAGGCAGCTGCTTTAGCTGGCTTCGCAGCGCCAAGCGGCGCTGCCGCCTCTCCCCAAGCGCCCTTGGAAGCTGGGTAATGTCCCCCCCCACTACCCCCGGCTGACTCGCGCAGCCCTTCTTCTCTCCGCACCGGGCTCCTCGGTCTGGAGGTTGGTGCGTGAGGAACCAGGGCTGCCCTCCTGCCTGATCCCACCCGGGTGCCAGCGTGGGTGGCCAGACCCACGCCAGTAAGGGGAAGGCACAAATGACAGGTGTGAGGGGCATGTGCTCTATGAATTTGGTCCTTGGTCCTGATCCACACAGTCCCACAGGCACTTGCCTTGAGGATGTCCCTTGGACTCCCAAACATCCTGATTGCTTTACTAAAGAAGTGACTTCACCTCCCTGGGCCTCAGTTTCCCCTGCTGACAAGTAGGCAACATTCAGTTATGAGCAGAATGTTTAAGGGCTTTGAAATCAGAGGATGGTCTTGGCTAATTTCCTGGCTGTGTGACCTTAGACAAGACATTTAACCTCTCTTGAGCCTCAGCTTCCCCATCTGAAACATGGGGAAGGTGAGCTACCAGGATTAAATGAGACGGTGCATGTGGGGAGCCTACCATGGTTCTTGGCAGACAGCCAGCACTCAATTCAGATTGGCTACAGGTGTTACTTTATGAAGTGTCCAGCACCAGTACATGTTGAGGCAGAGTGAGTTCTCCTGGGATGTGGGGACTTGGCACCTCCCCACCCCACCCCACCCCCCACACAACACCCTTCAAAAAGGCCTTTCAATCTCCCAAGGCCTTGTTGATATCTAATTGCAATGCAAGACTCTCTTCTCAGGGCCTACCCTTGCTCAGACATTCCCTCCTACTTGGCCTCTCCCAGCCCAGCTCTCCTCTGCCAACCCTACCATCCCCATCCAGGTTGGAAAAGACTGTATCTGACAGATTGTATTCCCTTTTGCCCTTGGCTGATGTCTGTTGCCCCAGTAGAGGGCTTCCCACATATTACTCACATTTTGTGAAGGGAATACTGCACAACTCCCTCCACGCCAGCATTTGGGGGAATGGGGAGGATTGCTTTCCCTGAGGAGCAATCAGGCTGTCAGGTGGCTTGGGCATTGCAGTTGTGAAGGTTCAGACAGGCAGTGAAAGCAGCAGGTGTCTACCAGAGACAAGAGAGTGGGAAGTCCCAACCCTGATTCCATGCTGACCATGGTGTGTTCATCCAGGACACTGAGCCATGAAGCACCAGAAGTGCTGAACCTCCAGAAAGCTGACTGAGAGGTTAGAACTTCAGAGCTGGAAGATCCCTAGGAAGAGATCTGCCCAGTCTGTTCTGCTGGGGTCTCAGACCCAGAGCAGAGCAGGAGAGGCTGGGGGCCTCAGAGAGGATGCTGGGGTCGTTGGGGGTGGCATATGGAGAATGTAGGTGGCTTGGAGCACTGTTGGGAGGAAAACAAAGGTCTAGACTGCAGACACCCATGTTAGTCCTGGCCACCTGTGGCCCAGCTGCCCAGAACGGGAGCGGGTCCACATGTTGCCTGGTGGGGACCTGGTGAGAACTGGCTGCCTCCTTGAGCTCCTCCTACACAGAAACCCCTCTCACCTCTTCCTCTGTAGCCCACTCCAGCCCCTCCTGCATTCACCCACTAAGGTGACACATCCCTGCATCTTCCATAATCCTCACACCTCTTCTTCCCAAAGGAGTTAATCAGAGACTAATTAGGAGGTTTGTGTCTCCTGGTTCACATATATTTGGAATACTGCCCATCAGGAATATGGTGGGGTTATGGGAATTATCTTCAGTCTTTGGAAATAATCAGAAACACCCAGAGACGCATGTCCTGAAGCCTTTGCCCTGGAAGTGCTCAGAGCACAAGGTGAGAGGCAGGAAGGTGTCAATCTTCACTCAGTCTCCTAAAGGGAGATCACTTGGAGACTGCTGGAGCCCCTAGGCAAGTGAGCACAAGAGCAGTGTTGTGGCTAAGAGCGTGACTTCTTGGAGCTAGACTGCCTGGGTTTACAGCATGTGATTCTGGGAGGAGATTTACCTTTCAGAGCCTCAATTTCCCTTGAAAATTGTTTAACCAATGAGCAGTCTCCCGCCTTTTCTTCCTAACTATTGCCTTCATTTAGACATCTGCCACAGCCTGCTGCCTCCCACACCTGGTCTGCCCTCTGCACCAAAAGGATGAAAGCAGATCACGTCACTACCCCCCGCTTAGAATCCTCCAAAGGCCAGGGAGCTCACTACCGCACCTGGCCCCCTTCTATTTCTCTGGATCTCAGTGTCGTCATCTCTAAAACGGGGATTTGTTTTGAGATCCATTAAGCAGATAGCACGTGGTTGAGCAGGTAAACATCACGGCATCAAGTGGCCTGTTCTACAGGCCAGCCCACGCCTGCAGCCCCTGGCAGTACGCTGTCTGCTGCGCTGAGGCTGAACCTCCCGATGCGCCTACCGCGCATGCGCCGCGCCAGGCTCTGCCTGCCAGCAGCCCGCAGCGCATGGCCGCTGCGCTTAACCACACACGCATCTGCCCAGTTCTGAGTAACGCAGCGGGCCGCAGGGTGGAGGTATTCCGGGAGTGAGGACACGAAGCGGAGTGGAATGATATGGCGTTGCATAATACCACTGAATCCACTTCAAAGCCTGGCGTACCACTGCCCGCCCGCCCGCCCTCCAGTTGCTAGCCAGACAATCGAGTCGCGGATGAGTCACAGGCAGGAACGCGCCTCGCCTCAGATGCTGGGCTCCGAGAGGCGGGCAGCAGGAGACGTGACCCGGGAGTGCCCCCCCCCCACCCCCTCAGCCCCTGCGCCAGAACTCCAATCGCAGCAAACCATACGCTCAGCCCATCCGTGTCAGACCCATCCATCCACTACCACATCACTAAATCCTCACAGCCGCTCTGGTCACAAATGGGGCTACCAGGGTGGGCACTTGCTTACGTGGACACTTGACATCCAGCTCCTTTGTCTTGGTGACCCCAAGAGAAGCTCCACCCAAGGAGAAGGTCTGATGCCACCAAGGGATGGTTTTCCTTACGCTGGAATCCTCAAGTGGGGGAGGGAAGCTGGAAGAGGAAACAGGTTGAAAATCCGTTTTAGAATCCCGAAAGCCTCTCCTCTGTTTTCCAAAGAGTTTTGTGGGACACCCTGTAAATGCTTGGTAAATATCTGAATAAACCGATGCGAGCTGGGATGCTGGGAGAATGCAGCAGGAGGGTGTGTGTGTGAAATGCTGATTGAGTTACACAACCCAGGGAATTGTCAGCTTCGCAGTCATGAATGATCTGGGGGAGCATCTCAACACCTTACATGAGTGTCCCCCTCAGGAAATAGAACGTCATTAAAAGGTAGCCTCAACACCACGGAAGTGATGTGTCAGCATCAGGCCAAGGTTTTGTTCTAGATTTTTCTACATTTTAAAAAATATCCCTCAGTGCCCAGCCCTCAGTGAGTTCCAGAGGGCACACTGGCTCATGGCTGCCAGCTTTCCCCTGCAAAAGCCCACTGGGCTCTTCATCCATGGTCCCTGCTCAGCAACCCCCAAAGGTACAGTTTGGTTTCTCAAGTCAAGTGCACATACTCCCTAGGAAATAACTATATATCTCCCAGCTGTTCCCACAGCCTGTGTCACTTGGGGCTCAGGAGATACTGAAGCAGTTCAGATCTTTAGTAGCATGGAGGCTGGGTTACTTTTTGAAAGTGTTTCCTCCATCACAAATGGGTGTTTGAATGAGCTGGTGCTCCCTTGCTGTACAGACGTCCAGGAATTACACCATGTTCATACTGAGGGCTGGAGGGTTGGCGAAGAGACATTTCCATTCCCTAGGCCTTTATTAGGTGCCTTCCAAGGAAGTGTGCTGGCTGACAGTGTGGGCTTTGGAATCAAACAGACCTGGGTTCTAGTCCCAGCCTGTAATTAGAAGCCGTGTGGCCTTAGACAAGCTATATAACCTCTCTGAGACTCAACTTCCTTATTTACAGAATGAGAATGGAAAGAGTGTCCCCCTCTTAAAGTTGTTGGCATAATAGTAATAATAATATGGTTTAAGGTAGGCAACTCTGAACACCCTTCCAAAACAGCTATGGGGCCTTGAACTAGCCTTTTGCCCTTTCCAGGTCAGTTTCCCCTTCTGTGAAGTGAGGACATTGGACTGGTCTTTAAGGGTCCTTCCAGCCCCAAAAGTTGTAAGATGCTTGGCATGCCATGGTCCATTGCAATTGTCCGAGGCAGTGGGATCTCACAAGTTCATGACACAGGAGAACTCTGGGGCATCTCTTATTCCTGCACAAGGGTCCACCCGTAAGAGAGATTCTCCCATTCACCCACTACTGAGATCCCAGCATTCATCTGCCCCACCCCTGTCTCCAGACTCCCATACTCTGCAGCCCAGAGCTCCCACAGGCCCCTGCCAAAACTGGGCACATCTCTCAAAGTCACCAACCTCTTCCCAAAGCTTGACAGCCCAGGATACATGAGCGCCCAGCCTGCAGGGTCAGTGGGTGCCAAATGGGCGCCCCCATCACCTGCCTGTTTGTGTCTCTGCAGGTGAGCGGAGGGTCCTTCCTTGCGAGAAGTCAGAGCTGTGCACGTGGGCAGGCTGGCTCCGCTGTTCTGCTCCAAGGATTACATGTCCTTCAAACGCCCCTGCCCCTGTAAGTCTCCTCCCTACATCCTTCCACGGCTTGGGCCAGGTGAAGGCAGAGCATGGAGTCAGGGATGCAAAGAATGGCTCTAGGATGTTTGTCCAGAGTTCCAGGGGTCTAATCAGGGGCTGATGTGATATGACAGGAATGGGGATAGCAACACAGAAGACCCCTGATATTTGCAAGTCTCACTTTTGCCAATCCCTCTATGTGAGTACTTTCCAAAGTGTGGGTTGGGGTTCCTCCAAGGGATGTTAATAATGGTATTACTTTAAGAAGCAAAATCCACAGCTTAAATGAGTGTGTGGGAAATGCTGGGTGAGACAAGTTAGGTAGGTTTTGCTATCACAGGCATTTTCAGGGTCTTTAATGTGGTGATGTATGTTTGAGGCTCCCATCGGAAAGAGAGAGCCATGGGCTTCCCAAATTTAACTGATCACAAGAAATGTCTCACTCGACTGACATTCCACAGAACATACTCCTTGAAATTCTCTGTCCTAAGGAAACCCTTCCTGCAGCATCCCCACCTTGAAGCCCCTCATTTACTAATTCATTTCATCTAATTAAGCCGTTAGATTATTTTGCATACAACATTCCTCTCATGGCTCCCTGGTACCCTGAGCTCAGGCAATGGTCTCAGCAGGTGTACACCTGGGGTTCAAGGCCACAGCCCCCTTTGACTTACTCCCTTAGTCCCCACCAGCCCCGCCTTCACCCAATGCATGCAGGGTGGGATCATTACCAGGTATGCCTCAGGGAGTAAAGTGACAGTGGGGGTCATTGTCCAAAGAGTGGCATTCAGGGGGTACAGGAGCCCAGCCTGGTGCTACCATGGGTACTCAAGGAGGACACAGGTCAAGAGCTGGTAAGATAATTTCTGACAGATAGTATAAACTCAGTAAGTTATTGTTACTGTTGTTACTGCAGCTGTTGTAGCATAATCAGGAAATCAAAGTCCAAGGCACAGGCCAGGTGACAAGGCTGCCATTTAGGGGCACATCAGGGCCCACAAACACCAGCACCACGGAGGTCTAGGATAGTCATGTCCTCACCCCCACAAGCCACTAGGAATAGAGAAGGCTGGTAAAGGGCACGGCTGGACTACTGCTGAGTGTGGAAGGCTTTCCAGAACCTTCTGGAGTCAAGCCAGGCCCTCCAGAGCCCTGCCCATCTGCACTAACAGAGGCCCAGCACAGAACAGACCTCTGCGTATCCACCTCCTGAGGATTCCAGGGTGTGGCCATCAATCTTCTGAGCTGTTTATTTCTGCATCAGTCCCTCCCCCTTTGGGCCTGGCACCTGGCATGCAGCAGGCACTCAATAAATGTTGTATGAACAAATGCATAGTTATATGCTCTGGATAAGAAGCTGGAAGCAGTGGGTTGGGGAGAAATAGATGCTCCTGATTCTGCCACCAGATTCTCTCTGTGGCTTTGGCCAACCAGTCCACATCTCTAAAACAAAGGGGTAGCCTGAGGCCAGTGGGTTCCAGGAGCTCAGGACTGCTGTGAAGTGACATAGAAGGTGAGGGGAACACAGGCTGGCACAACCCTGGACTCTCTACCACCCACTGCTTCAGCCAGAGCAGCTCTGCTTCTATCTGTATGCAGGTTGGAGTTTGCTCAGATTTCATTTAGAGAAAAGGGTCCCAAGCAGTGGCCAACTGGGTGCTGTGGGGTTATGTGGGCCACCCCTTCTCTATCATTTCTCCTTCCCTGATGGATTCTTCCCCTCACATTGTCCAATCTGACGCCTTTTTCTCTGAACTTGTCCAAGAAGTGTTCACTGTCCCCACTTTCAGTGGCCCCAGCCAGCTCCAGTCTGGCTTCTACATCCCCACCCCACACCCTGTTGACATCTGTGTCAATAAATCCAGTTCTCAGCTGCCTCTGACCATGTCGGTCACTTCGACTTTCCTGACGACTTCTCCTAGGGTTCCTTCACTCTGAGCCCTCCAGCCCCTCTGGTCATTCATGACCTCCTTCAGCTGTGCTCTTCCTGCACCTGCCCTGGGATGCTGGGGCCCCCGGGGCTGCAACCCCATCCCTGGGCTTCTCACTCCAAGCGCTGCAGGCTCTCGACCCACTGCTTCCAGGGCTCTCTCCCAACCCCGTTTCTGCCTGCACTCCACCTTCTGCTGCCTGTCTTCCCTGGGCAGCCCCCGCCCCCGCCCCTCAAATTCAGCTTGTCCCAAACTGCACTCTTCGTCTTGCCCTCCAAGCCGACTTTGCTTGGTTTTGCTGTATTAGTTTAGGGCACCACTGACTCAGTCCCACAGGTCAGAATCTGGGTGCGACCTTTAGTTCCCCTCTGCATACTCATCACTGCCAACTGCCCGAGGAGACCCTGGGGTTTCCGAAAGGGGTCCACAAATTGCCATTCTGACTTGCCCCTATCTGGGCTCCCTCTTCAGAGCGAACCTGGAAATAACTGCCTCAGTAAATGTTTGTTGAACAACTGGACAAATATGCAAATTGAGATGAAGTGAGTGCCTCTGGGCAGCCCCCTCAGCTCACAGACCAGAGACTTGTGCACAGTCCCGGAAGGGACGCAGAACCACAGGAGCCCCACACATCCTGAAAACACCAGACGCGGGAACACGACGAGGCACAGACCCAGAAGTCATAGGAGGGCCCTGACATGGACACACACCCTCTTTTTTTAACACCTCCTTTCCTGCTCTGTGAATGTAGACACCTAACAGGGAATTGCTTTAGCTTTCTTAGCTCACAGAATCACCTTGCTTGGAATATGTGAAGATACCAGAGCCCATTAAAACCGGGAAAACTTGGGTAGGAGACACAGCTTGTTCCAGTTCAGGTTTCTGCACATACCCTGACTGATTGAGGAGGATAAAAAGAAGTCTCCGGAAGGAAAAATAAGTCCCCCATCTCCCAAGCAAGGCCCCGCTCCTGTGAGTCAAGAGCTCAGGAGGTCAGGGAGAGAGAGAGAGAGAGAGAGAGAATGTGGACAATATGGCACAGAGCAGGGAGGCTGCCACCGGTCTGCCCAGCCCCCACTACAGATGCTGGGTGAAGGGGGACATCCGTCAGCCTCTCAGGGGTCAGCAGACGAGAATGAGACCAGGCTGGGCCAACTCCTCGCAGGCACTGCCCACGCTCCGGCGTCCCCTAACCCCATCTTACCTTCCAGGTGTTTCAGCCCATCTTGGGCCCCCCAGAGACTGCCCCAGCAGACCCCAGGGCCCACTCCCCACCCCAGTTAGCAGGTGAGAAGACTTAGGGCCAAGGGAGGAGACAAGAAGAGGGAAAAGGAAGGTAGGGGAACGTCTGACACAGGAAAGCCCAGAGGGTTTTGGCTCCGTGGCTGAGAGAGGAAAGTCAGTCTTCTGCCTGTGAGTGCTGGCCTTGTGAGCCGTTCTCCAGCCTTAAGCACCGAGTGAGAGAGAGGGCGGCCCAGCCCGGCACTGCAAGAAGGCTGCAGGCGTGGGAGCCTTCCATCTGGCCCTAGCTGGGCAGCGCAGCCCAGGATTTCCCCAGGACTCAGGTTCCAAGAACAGATGCTCCACAACCTCTTCTCTGCCACTGGCAGATGGCAGCTCCATAGAGCTCCCTGTGACATGGGGGTGGCCTGCCTCCTCTGGCTTTGCAGGACGGATCTCAAGGAGAAGGGGCCTTGGGGTCCCAGGGAAGACTGAGCCCCATGGCAAAGCAGAAAGGAGAGCGGACATTAACATCCACTAATTCACAAAGGAAGTCAGGTGGGACTTGTCTCTGCTAAGCCCACAGACCTCACACAGGCTGGCAGGAATCACAGCCTAGTGGAGCCTCCGGGCGGGTTTAGGTCTCCCTCAGAGTCCATATGAGGTGGTAGACAGTCCTTGGCTTCATGGACAGCCAGGCACTGAGACTTGCCAGCTGTGTGATCTGGAACAAACGACTTAACATTTAGAGACCTCAATTTGTTCATCTATAAAATGGAAATAGTCATATCAGTCTTTGGTTTGGTGCTCAGATTTAACATGCCATAAGGAGAATCTGGCTTGGCATCAGGCACTGAGAAGATGCTCAAGAAACTTGAAAGTCTTGTCCTTGTGACCACCCTCTCTCTACACACCTATTACCAAAGTGTTTAGTACTGGAGCAGGGAAGATGGAGACAGGTGGGAACTTTGGAGATGAATTTGGAGTTTGGGCCAGGTACTGCTGTTTTCTGCTCTGCCCACTGTAACAGTTACCTCTGCAGAGACTTAGCGATCAACAGACAGAAGGATTTGAGGACAAGGAAGTCAAGTGATGGGACACCCTCCACCATTTGTTGCTTCAGTGCCCAGAGAAGACATGGCTAACCAACAGCAGTGCTCTTTCCTGCTGAGCCCGGATGCAATCTCAGACTCCCTGAACACATGCGAGCTCTACACAACGGTCATTAACCTGTGGAATGAAACCCTTGTTCGTTCTTTCCTGAGGTCTGACTTTGGAGTGTAAAAATAGAAGGAGTGACTTCATCTGGTCATTTCTTTCTGAGACTCAGTTTCTTCATCTGTAAAATGGGGTTGATTAAAGGATCCACCTCCAAGGGTTACTGTGAGCATTAAATGAGATATCACAGGTAGAGGGCTTACAACACCTTATGGTCATGTCTTTATGTGGCCTGCCTTGATGCAACCCTGCAAAGAGAGGGATCGGTGTGCCCATTCCACATATGGAGAAACTGAGGCTCAAGAACATGAAAAAAAATGGTCTAGGTGACACAGCTCGAAAATGGTGGGCAAGGTTACACCCCAGGTGAGTCTTTCCAAGACTCAATTTTAGCTAAACCACAGCTGGACAAAAGGACAAGAGTGGAGTCAAGTCCATCCCTCTACCCCCAACCCCTGGACCGAGAGTCCACTCTGCAGCAGGACTTCCTGGCCTCACGAATGCCCTGGCTGCCCCTCCTCAGAGCTCTCTTTCTAGCACAGAGTCTGACTATAGCAAGGGCTCAATTAATTTTAATTGCAGCATCATTTTATATTTGAGTCCCTGGCAAGAAGGCACCAACCTCCAC